AACAAAGTTCCGAGTCTCGTGGGGATTATGGAATCTTCCACATCTGAGTGGAACCTCTGACGGGCTCACAGCTCATGTGAGTCCACCTGAGAGGTGAGCGTGGTGTTGAACGAAGTACCGTCACTACTTCGGACGATTCGCAGCTGTTCCTACGGAGACGCTGGAAAGGTAGTGTTAAATGGAACTCCGTACCAGTGGAGACATCTTCTACAAGGTAACGAGTCCCTCACTACCGAAGTGTACCGAGGTGGAGCTGGGTTCGGATGGAGGGTGCCGTTCGTTATCAACCCACTTTTCCCTCATCCATTTTCTCCATTTAAACTCCTTCATTTCCCATCTTTAAAACTCTTCTATCTTGCCAGTAATTAATCCAGATATTTTCAGAAATGTCTGTTGGTTTCAAAAGCTGCAGGTGAGATACCATGGCCGTATGGTTCTCATTGTAAAGCTCATTAATTAAGCTGTGTTTTGTAATCAATCTGCCAATTATTGTAAATGTGTGATGTGTTTAAATCGTTTTTAATTAAACGGCTCACTGTTGTTGATGAGTCAGAAATTAAACCACGTTTCCGTCCACATTTAATCATTCAAGGCACGAGAGTACTCAGTCCAGAAAAATGAAAGAATCCGTTTAAATTATGAATAATATCAGAGACCGATATAGTTCATTACAGTCTCGGTGGATAACCGTGATTTATGCTTTAAACATTTGAAAAGAGAAAAATTAAACGTGTGTTTTGTTGTGGTTGTGTTAAATCCATCAAATGTAATTACAATAGCCCCTCGTTTATTGCGGGTGTTAGGTTCCAGGCCCCCCGCAATAAGTGAAAACTGCGAAGTAGAGGTATTACTACAAGAGAAGAGAAGTGCAGCAGGACAACAAAGGGTTAACCCTTCATGCAGCACGGAGCAGAAATGTACTTCTTGATCAATTACACTGTAACAACTGAACATAGAAGGTCTAAAATAATTAAAATAACTTTTAACACTTTTATATTTTGTGATTATGACAATTTTACGATGTGGCATACTTTAAATTTTAAGTTGGAAGACAAAAGTCGATCGGTGCATCTGGACAACAAAGCTGCTGCATCACGGAGGAGAACTGCAGGAGGGAGCTTCTCCCTGCACCTGTGGGCTGCACACAGGTGCAGCAGGTGCCGAGTCATTAAAAAGTATATATTTTAAATAAACAATCCGTGCGGCTCGTCCGTCAGTCAGCAGTTGTGTGTCATGTTCAATCTTTGAAAAACAAGAGCAAGCCCGCCAGAGTCGAACCGTGAAGTAGTGGGGGACTGCTGTATAGTGTTTCCCCTAGGTTACTTGCCTTGGCACAGCGCTCATCTCTTCGGTGATTTTTGTCGACGGCGGGGGGGCGACAGTTTGAAGGACAGCTCAGCTTTTTGGCTAGCACGTCTGTATTGTGCACCGCACCACTTGCTTAGCGCTACGTCAGTGCCGGCAGTTGTCAGCTAGGGGTACAGTTCGGTGGGCAGGGTGCTCGATTCTGTTGACAGGGCGGGGCGCCTTCCTTGTATAATGGTAGAGGGAACACTGAATTATGATTCAGGGCTTAAACTGATGCTTCTTTCAACAAATAGAGAACCAGAGCCATAGTTTGACCCAGTCAGAGCAGGGCGGGTCACGTACGGTGACCTCGGGTTCGAGCAGTGTTTCCAACTTGGAGAGACTGCAGGTGAAAGCAGGAATCGTTCTACACTTCCTGTCCTCTAAGCAGCAGCTCAGCTGTGAGACCCTCCCTGTCCCAAAGCGCTCACAGGCGGTCAGGATCACACACACACACTGCAAACCAACCACGCACAGCCGCTGCTGATCCTGCCCCGGCTAACAGACCTCCCTCACCTCACCTCGACCTCCCCGGGACTTTTGTATCTAAAATGTAACTTTGTATGAAATGTTACTGTGTTCAGAGCGTGTTCATCGTACAGACGTGTCCAACTAGCGAGCGTGACCAAACTCCTGGTCTAATGGAGAGAGAGTCACCATGGGAGCGCACGCAGCCTGTTAAAGTCTCTCTGTAAAACCAGCTGTTTCTGGAGGTTTAGTTCTCAGGATTAAAAAATGTTAACAATAAAATACAAATATGTGTAGGCCCCAGATTAAGGCAAAAATGTGTCTTTGTTCAACTTGAATTTTTTTCCCAAAACTCGTGAAGTTCTCTGTGACTCACTTCCATTCAGTTGTAGTTTATTATAAATTAGGGATGCACAATATTGGATTTTTGGCCGATATCCGATATGCCAATATGTTAAAACTTATTCGGCCGAAGCCGATACCGATATTTTATATACTTTCCTTTGTCAGAACATAGCATCTTATTTAGGCTTATTTGCTACAAAAATTGTGTAACAGCTGTAAGAGCTGGTGACATATATTCATTAAGCCATATGATGTACATAGCATTTTAACTTATATTAAATGAAAAGTGTTCAATGTTATTTATTAGCATTAGTCACCTGTGATGCTGTCTCACCTGTGGAGGTTTGCTCCAGGTTCCTATAGCTGCAGTGTGGGATCCTCTGCACTCCTGTGCATGAAGGACAGACTTTTTAAATTCAAAGATTTTGTCTGTCCATTGTTCAGTAAGACTAATCATGCTAACGGAGCTAACACGATTAGCTTCTCAACGACATCAGAAATGACGGCTTGTAACTCGGGTAACGTTACGTCGGAAAAATATCTCCGACTGCGGACGATTCCAAAGATTTATGGACTATGTTGAGCCTCGCTCAACATAGTCCATAAATCTTTGGAATCAGACATCCTCACCAACGAAAAATAAAACTTCCACACCGCTGACATTTTGAATTTTACTCTCCACCGTGAGATCAGGTAGGCGCACGTGACGTCATCACGCTGTGCGGCCGCTGCAGGCAAAAACAGCACCTTTTGTATCAGTGAGTTATTTTAATGGAATGGCCGATGTCCCATATTGAACTTTAACACTAATATCATCTGATACCATGCCGATCATATCGTGCATCCCTATTATAAATATCTACAAAATTCAATTCTATTCTGTATTTTAGCAATAACAAGATGTTGTGACTGTTTGGATGTGCTAAACTTGCTTATATTTGGAAACATACAGAGAAGTACTATGTACTAAGTACTATGATAAAAGTAATTCAATAAATGATCAGATATTAAAAATAAATAGTATTAAATGAGTATATGAGCTGAAATCCTGTAAATATAATACATTTGAATGAAATAATACTTTTAAGGTAAAAAAAAATGTCAGTCTGGCCAGTGTTGTTTTCGTTAACGATGACGAAAAGTTTTCGTCGACGCCCCCTTTTTTCATGACAATAATGAGACGTAACGAAATAAACATTGCTCTTTAATGACTAAAACATGACGAAATGTGTGTGAGTTTTCGTTGACGAGATGAGACTGTACGAAAATGTTTGTCGGTGGTCCGTCAATAATTTAGAATGCACAATATTTCTGCCCATTGGTCACACCCACTGCTACCCAACCGCGCTGATGCACCGCGTGCTCACCTTTGACTTCATTTCAAACTGGACCATGGCAGATGCTGCACGTTTTACGAAGGGGCTCGGTGGACGCAAACCCAGAAAGGATTTATGGACTTATTTTGTATTTAACCCAACTGAAAGAAGAACCGAATGTATCGTCGAGGGAGACGGAGGTAAATGTGGATTTAAACTTGGTGGAAAAAACACGACAAATCTTAAGCGGCACCTGAAGGCTCACCACCCTGATATTTTTTCCAAGGTAAGTTAGTTACAACTACTATTTTTGTAATGTACATACATGCAATGTTACTTGACAAACCAAACGGGTTGTGACACATTTCACAACTCCAGTTTCGTGTAAACTTAATGTTTTTTTAATTTTATTTTTATAAATCCTGTCCTTGCTTGCGCACGTGGATGCTAACTTTGTGCTATTAGCTTGTTTGTTGTGCTAATCTAACGTCGGCTACTGTTACGTGTAAAACATGCAGGGATGTATGGCTGATAGGTTGTGTTTGAGTGACTGAATATCAAACCTGTTGCTGTTACCCCATGTGTCTGTCGGGTCTGCATCCTTTAAACCAAAAACCCATTTTAGCTAAACACTACTTGCATTACATTTTAAAATGAGACAACCAACATTTGTCTGATAAATGTTTACAGTAAAAAGTGTTAGGGGGCCAAAAAATACTTCATTTTAAATAAATAAATTGAATCAAAACATTTGCAAAAGAGAAAAGATACATTTTCTTAGATTGAGTGTTTATTGGTAGAAGAAAAATGGACAAAGTAATGTAAAAAATACCCCCCCAAAAAAAGCTGTTTTCAATCTAATGAAAAGAAAAATAGTATTAAAAATACTGGTTATGTTAGTGTCATTCTGGATTGAAAATCTAATGCCAATTAGCAAAAAATAGGTAAAGCTGACATTTATCTGTATTCAAATTTCAAAAGCATCTGCCTGTGTTAAATGTTTGGTACTTCAGACTAAAAGCTACAAGGGCACCTCAGTGTTGTTTTTCTGCTCTGAACCCTGAGCAGAAAAACATTAACACTGCACTAAAGTATTTTTTCATTTATCACAAGTCATATCATCATCGCAATATGATGCACTGTTCTTGCACATCACAGGATTTCCTAATATCAGACAGCCCTAGTGCACTTTTAATAATCTAACTCAACTGTACAGATACATTAGAAATGTGGCCATTGCACAATATAGAAAGATCAGATGACTTGCATAAGGAGGACAGGGTGGATGCTATTCATCTGGTTATTAACGTATCAGAAAGATTTTTTTGTTTGCTTGTTTGACAGCTAAAGTCATTCTGTTTTCTTAACATGGTATTTAGTAAGATATGTTGACACAAATCATTATGCACAATATATGTACATATAGACATATAAATAATTTTTTTAAGATATACATACATTTGATTATTTTATATTCACTTATAGATTCTTTACAAGAGGTGTACATTGTATATACAGAAAGAATAATTATCTTCTCGCCTTGCTTTTTTCTCATCCAGATCCCAGAGATCCTAACTCCTAAAGAGAAACCTGGTGGTCCAAAGAACGACAGGTCACAGTCATCTATACCAGCAGCCTTTGCCGCAGGATCTAAATATAAAACAGATTCTCAGGAACAACATGCCAAAGAACAGGCGATTGCTCTTTGGATTGGACGAACAGGTCTACCTGCTTGCACAGTTGAGGATGAAGATTTCATCCTTATGATGGAGACCTTTGATAAGAGGCTCACCATACCGAAAAGAACAAAAATAAACAACTTGGTTGACAAGATTTATGATGGTGAAAAGCAAAAGTTCAAAGAGAGGCTTGCAACAGCACACAAAATAACAATTGGACTGGACATATGGACCAAAAAAGGCCTTACAGCATCATTTCTAGCAATTAGTGCATGCTTTTTTTGCACTGTTGAAAACAAAGCACAGCACATACTGTTGAGACTTGACCAGCTCCCTCACCCACACACTGCTGAGTGTATAAAAACCCATGTTGATCAATGTACAGAGGACTGGGGAATACCCCAACACAAAATTCTGACAGTCATAACTGATAATGGAAGCAACATGATTGCTGCGTTCAAAGCTAATGAGCCGGATGAACTCAGTAGCTCTGAGGATGAATCCATCGATGTGAGCGACACAGAAGACCCTGAAGTGATTGGACAAGACCAAAGGTAAATTGTTTTAATTTACTGTTAAGATTTTTAGTGTGTCATACGCTAGGTTATAATCAATTTTAGCAACTGTTTGACAATTTTATTGAATTTCCTATATGATATTAAGAAAGTTTCTTTTTCTCTGTGTTTTGTCCTCTCTATCTAGGTTTGGAGCCATAGATAGGACCCCATGTGTTGTACACACACTGCAACTCGTTGTGAACATGATCCAGAAGGATGCAAGTATAAACCGACTGCTGGGCAAAGTTAGACTGCTTGTCAAGCTCTTTCGCAAGTCATCAGTGGCAACACAGCGTTTGCTCCAGGTATGTCAACTAACTGTGGTCAATGACTGCCCTACTAGATGGTCCAGCACATACCTGATGATATCACGACTTCTCCAAATCAAGGACTCAGTAGTTCAGGTTGCAGATGAGATGAGCTGGGACTATCTACTGCCAAGTGAGTGGCAGAAGTTGACTGCTCTTAGAGATTTACTTCTCCCCTTCGCTGAGCATACTCAGATGCTCCAGAGTGACACACAGTCTTTATCCCTTGTGTTGCCTGCCCTTCTGGACTTACACGGTCATCTATCTGAGTTCCCCAACGCTCAAGGTTCTACTTTCAAGGACCTAGCTTCCCTGGCAAATAAGATGAAGGCAAACATGGACAAACGGTTCAGCTGCTTTCTTGATCACACTGATTCTAAGTTTTCACCCCTCATTGCTGCTGCTTGCTACCTCGACCCGACAGTTGCACCTGAAGCACTCCTTGAAAATGATGATGAGCAAAGTGAGGCACTTCTGGGAAAAGCAGAAGAGTACATAGCTCAACTGGTGCCACCTGTTTTACAAGAAGATGAGGCTGAAGATGAGAAGTCAGGGAAGGAGGGAGAGGAAGAAACCAAAGAGGGAGTGGGACCACTGAGAAAGCGGCCCAGATTCAAGTTTTTGTCGAGTCGGCCATCCAGATCTGGCTTCTCAAAGCCGTGTGTCATGCAGGAAATGAAGAAATTCAAGGAGCAGCTGTCACAGCCTATAAACCAAGAGACTGCCCTTGAATTTTGGGCTGCACAGGGGGATTCTGTGTATCCGAGCCTAAAACCTATTGCCTTAGATCTTCTGGCCATGCCAGCATCTCAAGCATTTGCTGAGAGGGTCTTTAGCATTACAGGTGACCTCAGTCGTGGCCGTCGAAATAGAGCAAGAGTCATTTTAGAGCGAAGTGCTTTCCTTAAACTGAATCGAGGTTGTTAAACTTAATTTGCATACCCACCTCGTTACCAAGCTTATTAGTGCAGGTGAAGACATGTTAAAATAGTGTTCTGTTTGGACTTTTTGCAACACTGCACAAAGGGTAGAGCCCCTATCTATTCTAAACAATGTTGTGGTAAACATTTTTGTTGTTTATTTATTTCATACTTTCTTTAAAGACCAGATACAGTGTGTATACAGTACTTAGTGTTCTGGGGTTGACTTATTCATTTTAGATTTCAAAACTTCCAGTGGCATATTTCATACTTTAAGAGAATAAGAAGAGATATATTTTATTATTTTGGTTTAGAATGTTTGCACAAGTTAAAGATAGTCAAGGTTTAGGACAGTCTGTTTTTATGTCTTCATTGTCCTGGTTGAAAAGTTTGAGTTTAACATGTGTGTTCCCTTTTATTATAATATTGGGCATTTGTACTTCATTGCACTTTAGCACATTTTGAGAAATAAAGCCACAAAGTGAGAATGTTTTTGTTTTGGGCATTTTTGGAGTACCAGTATTTGATTCCACTATTAAAACAAATTACTCAAATTAATTTGTAAAGACTAATATGTTTTCTATTTATTTTAAAGACTAAAACTAGACTTAAAATTTTAAAGTTTTTGTCGACTAAAGCTGGACTAAAACCATTAAATATAGAAATGACTAAAACTGACTAAAACTAAGAAGTGTTTTTGTCTAAAAGACTAAGACTAAAACTAAAATCAAAATGGCAGTCAAAAACAACACTGAGTCTGGCAAATAAAATAAAAATTAATTGTAAGTTGTTTTTTTCTGTACAAAGGACTACCTGTTTTATTTTTTTAAATCTACGTGACAACAAGGGAAGTTGTATTTGCCTTCCGAGGAGGCCCAGTTTACACATGGTGGTTTTTAGAGTAATACACATGACAGCAGCTCTTGTTCTCTCTAAAACTGAAGATCATTGAATGAATAAATAGTTTGGATACAAATTTAACATTTTAAGGTAACGGTTCGTCATTTCTTATCTGGCAACATCGCCTGGCATGGAAATTACATCGCATCAATGTGAACGTGTTTTTTTCTTGTTTATTCTACTGAAAAACACACAGGTCCAGACTTTGCAGGCAGGGCGCTCAGTTCTGTTGACAGCCCCC